AGAAATAAAATAGAATAAAATAAATAAAATAAATAAAATAAATAAAATAAATAAAATAAATAAAATAAATAAAAAGCACTGCCCGCACATTATTATTATTAGTCAGCTGGCCGCTCGCATTGATATCTAGAGGCTAAAAACCACCGCGAACTAACTTCAACACGAATAACAACGTGTAAATCCACTAGTTGCGTGTCGTTGGAGCACAAAACGGAGCAGAAAGAGACTAAAACGGAGCAGAAAAAGACTAAAAGGGAGCAGAAAAAGAGGAAGATGTGGATTGAGTCGAGCCAGCATGCGTTAGCAGGTGAGCTAAAGTTAGCCCGGTTGTCTCCCCCCTCCTTCCCTTCCTCCCTCCCGGGGGAAGGCGGCTCACCAGACGGGCAAACACGACGGGTTTCTGCTTACCCAACAAGGTGCCGATCACACGACTCGCTCCCTCGTTTCTCCGCTCGTAAGAGTCGCAGATTGAAGCGAGAACGACGGGGTGAATTTTCACCACGGGCCCGTACACCGACATCTTGGGGGAAAAGGAGGATTGCTCACCGGCGTCGGTGGACACATATACCGCCACCTAGAGGCCGGCGGCCGCATAGCAGCTAATGAGTACCAGGGTAATTATGAAGGAGACACTGATACGATTGATGAGACAATGTAGTGACTGCATGATGTCTGCACCAGTTGCTTTAATAGTGAATAAGTTGTTATTTTATTAAGTTTTTTTTTTTTAAAGGAGTCGTATTATAATTTAATTGTAGAGGAGCTGAAAAAAGTCACATAAATTCATCGCATTTATTTAGAAATACTAAATAAGCTATATTGTTGTTATGCCATCGGTAATTTTACACTACAAAACATAAAAAAAATATGAGATGCTTATGTCATTACACTGTAATTGCGTCATTAAAAAAAAAAAAAAAGGCCTTTAGCATTTTGCTCATCTCCCGAGCTGTGTGCAGATTTTAAAGAGGGGGGGTCTGCCAGTCAGCTGAGAGGGACTGTCTGTCCTCTGTAGTGGAGATGTGGAGCGTCTGAGGCAGGCGGGCAGGGGTTGATAGGGGCTGGGCTGATGACCGCATCCTCCGCCGCTCACTGGCTCCACACCTGACCGACTCCCTCAGATGCACAGAGGATGGAGCTCTCCGTTCACCCGGGTTATCCTGTTGCCACCATTTCGCACGACCACTGCCCGTCACATGTTCTCCAAGCGCCGTGATCGCTTGAACTTGTTTTCGCCGGGCGCTTTTTTCTTTTCATTTTAATTTTTATGCTCGATCACTGAGCCGCGGATGATCGCTTCTTTTTTTTTATTATCACTGAGTGTAAATGCCGAGGTCGGATCGTGGTGGTCTTTGTTTTTTTTTTTCCTGGAGAAGCGAGCAGGAGTGGACTGATGCTGCGTCGCTGGTAAACACCAGAAATGGGTGTCATTGAGCCAATCGCGGTTCGTTCTTGGACCCGATTTTCCTTCTTCTTATGATAAAACATCTGCCCGATCCGAGCTCTTACACATCTACAAGTTGCTTACACTGAGCAGGTAAGGTTTCTGTCCATTCCTAGCTGTCTGACATTAAATCCACTGAGCTTAGCCTCTCGGTTTCTGTAGCCCATTGGCTGGCTAACAGACGCCCTTTAATAGAGCCTATATCTGATCCATTCATCAGGCGTAGTGCGTCATCTTGATTGTCACCATCGGTCTCCTCTTGCGTCCATCCGCCAATTGTCCAAATGGACGCACATCATCCAAAGGCTACAGGAGCAACTAGGACTCCATTTTACTGTGCACATCTTTCAGGGACTCTCACTGTCCACAGTTTCTAGGTACTTATATGGGACTTATGTAAGAAATATCAGCAGGCCTGTAGCATAAATTCACCACATTTAATATAGCAGCAGATGTGCACTTATACAACACACTCACACACACACACACACACATACCCCAAAGCACTTTATGAAACATGCAAAACACTGAAGTGGCCCTAAAGTGCGTATGTCACACTGTGCTCCAGGATTTCACAGAAAGAGAGCCACATACTTACAAAACTATGTAAGATCAACCTTAAATATTGTGATTTCCTTCCTCCGTTTTGCGTTTTCTGCCTTTAAAAGGCATGAAATGATGAAACAGGCAACGTCGAATCTGTACGTCAAGCAACACAGAACCTCCAGGCCTTGTTATTAATGTAGAAGTTGACAGAAATGAAAGGGACAGACGTGCTGAATCGCTCCTGAGGTCCTATTTCTTTAAAAACAAATCATTTGTCAGTGAATTACTGTCACAGATCATTGTGTGCTTCTCCTGTTTTCCAGGCTTCAGTCAAGCAAACAAATGGTCCAATCAATAGCCACTGGACAGAGTCTGCCATAGGGAGGATATCAATAACACGCTAATACACCTGACACACACACACACACAAGCACCATGGCGCTGGAGAACTCGGTCTTCCCCACCCGCCCCGACTCCCTCTCGCTCCCCGTGGAGGAGAAGGGGGAAGGTGAACAAGTGGAGGTGGCCGCCGAGGCCACCGCCTCCACCGGAGTCTTCAACCTATCGGAGGAGCTGGGCCACGTCGTCACCACCGAGACGGCACCGTCCCCTCCACCCTTGGTCAAGGTCAAGAGGTCGTTCCAGAACAAGCTGGCCGAGCGGGAGGCCACAGCCAATCAACCCAGGAAGAAGATCGTTCAGGAGAGGGAGAGGGGGCGATTCGGGTGGGGTGAGTGACTCTGTGATGAAATAAATGTGTTCTATTCACTTCATTAAAGCATGGAGAAAACTGAATAAAGCTTGCGAGGTCGTTATTACTGATTCGTTTAGCTCCTCCAGAGATGGGCAGCTGTTCACTGACTCTGGAGAGATCAGCGTTTTCTCCCTCCCCTCCACACACACACACACACATATACTGTGTATTGACTGAACCCCCTTCTCCTCCCCACCTCTTTTACATAGTTGTGAATCTACTCTAATTTGCACCACGCTGCAGTGCTTCACCCCTCAGCGATTTTGACAGTCTTGCACATTTTTCATTCATTAAGCTTCTCCAGCAGCTCAACTCTTCGTTCGCTCTGGTTTCCCTCCTCTTCGCTGTACATCTCTGTGAAAGGAAGAACCAACCCTAAAACCCTAAAACACTGTTAACTGAATTGGACATTCATTGTTTTTGTGTGACGATCAAAAAATCCACATTTCCCCTCTTACCTGTAGTGCTATTTATCCTTCTAGATTGTTTTGGTGGTAGTTGCAGAGTTTTGGATGTATTGGCTCTATAGATGTCTGCCTTCTCTTGAATATAATGAAACCAGATGGCACTCGGCTTGTCTTTCTCAAAGGAGATATTTGGAACTATTTTCCTTCGTATCACCACACAGAACTGTGCACCTACTCATGGACGAGGATGTAAACATTATTGGTGTCCTCCTGAGCTCTAACGTTAGCGAGCTCATAAAATGCACGCTTCTTTCTGCGTGATAATATGGTTGGTAGGTTTAGTTTGGCAGAGAGAAAATAGCTCCTAGATGAAACTGCTCACAACAAGTAAGGTCTGTGGAATATCTTGAGTAGCCGGGTCATGATTTCAATCTGGTTCCATTATATTAAAGAGAAGGCACAGATCTCTTCAAAGTCTGCAACTCACGCCAAAACAATCTTGATGAATAAATAGTAGATAAGAGGAAAAAACATGGATTTTTGAAGGTGAACTGTCGCTTTAAGCTACAGTGTGGTGTCACTTTCTCAAAGCAGAGCCACTAATTTGCTCCAAAATATCAACACACAGTGAGAAATGCATGCAATGGTTGCATGCTCAGTAAAAAAAGGGCTCTTTACATTAAAAATATCATCAGTTGCCTTTAGGGTTGTACAGTAACTAAAGCCCAATATTGTAGCTTTTCTTCTCAGAGTGTTTGATGATGTTGTCCTGTCGCACTTCATCTCCTCTCTTTTCCTCACCTGTCTGATTTCATTTCTGTAATCCCTTCTTCACCAGCCTGATTTTTCCTCTGAGCCACACTGCATCTCTACGCAGTTTTGTCCCCTGGCACCTTCCTGTGTTTATCCTCCAGTCTCTCAACGTGCCTTTATTCAACTTGCATCCTCTGACTGCAGTCAGAATTGTATCTTCAAAGAGCAAAACCTTTCAGAAAATTTAAGAGGCAGCCCTGTATTGCTTTCTGGAGTTGTCTCAGGGGTTTTTGAAGGGGTTTCTTGGAAGTTAGGGTTATGAAACTAAGACGGCTGTGAAGACTCGTCTGTTACACTTTATTTGGATCATCCGCCTACAGATAGTTTATATTTGTAACATTTCAGCAGCTTATTAATTGAGATTCAACTGTCTTGGTTAGGGTATGGTTAGGGTATGTTCATGAACTGTTACATATACTTATATACTTTATAGACTATCTGTTAAAAATCTACAGACAAAGCAAATGTTACAAATACTAAATAACTATCTGTAGGCGGACAATCCAAATAAAGTGTTACCAACTCGTCTTCACCTCGTTTCAAGCATGGAAAAGGACCAAAACTGGAGCTGAATGTTTGTTCCAGCTCTTGCATATTTCTATATTTCTAACTCAAACTTCTGTAACCAATTTGTGTCGCTTCTCCTCTCTTCTCTCTGCTCTCTCCACATGATACCCCATCACCCCTTCTCTTCACCAGCCCGGGCTCGGCGTAAGAGACAGCGCTACGTGGAGAAGAACGGTCGCTGCAATGTGCAGCACGGTAACATGCGGGAGACTTACCGCTACCTGACCGACATCTTCACCACGCTGGTGGACCTCAACTGGCGCTGCTCGCTCTTCGTCTTCGTCATGGCCTACGCTGTGACATGGCTCTTCTTCGGGGCCATCTGGTACCTCATAGCCTACTGTAGGTAAGATTGTTGAGCAAAGGGGGTGGAACAAGTTTATTAATTTATATCTCTTCAGGCCTAGAGTAGAGGAGTCTTTTATTTCTTTCTGCTTAAACTGTAATGTTTGAGTATTTGACTGATACACTTTCAGACATTGTTACATGTGTATTATTACCAAGAACATGGTTTTCCTTAGCTGTGTGCTTTCGTCTTTCCTCCTCCTCCTTGAAGGAATTGTTTGACATTTAGAGGAATGTGCTTTTTTTCTAGCTTGCCAAGAGGTTGATGGGAAGATTGACACTCTCACATCTGTATGTGTAACTGAAGTGTAACATTAGTGTGCTTTAGAGGTGCTACATATTTCTTTTACCTCTGGACAGGCCCAGGCTAGCTGTTTCCACCTGTTTCCAGTCTTTGTGCTAA